TCAGCAATTCAGCTCAAGGCTAGCGCTCTACCACTTGAGCCACAACGCCACTTCCGGTTTTCTGGTGGTTAATTGGAGATAGGAGTCTCACGGTCTTTCTTGCCCGGGCTGGCTTTGAACTGTGATCCTCAGATCTCAGCCTCCTGAGTAGCTAGGATGACAGGTGTGAGTCACCAGCACCCAGCTCCATCGACTACCTTCAAAGTGGGGTCTCCCTCTACACCTGGCTGCTGTCCTCTGGCGTGTGCCCCCTGTGTCACTGGAAGTGACAGATGTGTGTCACTCCCCCCAGCCCATGAATAAGATGTGATCCCATAAACGGTTACGCCTGGGCTGGCCTTGAACTGCTGTCCTGCGATCTCTGCCTCCCGAGCAGTTAGAGTGACAGGCCTCAATCACTACATTTGGCCTCAAGAGTGTCCGAACACTTTTTTTGGAGAATAAATATAAGCTTCATGGGACAGCACCTCACCTCCATGGCGAATTATCAGAGACTCCAAGTGTGGAGAGGAGAGGCGGTGCGGGGGACTGTCCCCAGGGCCGTGGCCGGGGCTGGGTCCTGGAAGGGTGCTGCGTTTGGCCCCCACCCCGCCCCGATGGGCAGTGGTGTCTGCCGTGCGGTCCTGTCTGCCCTGCTGACCCAGGCTGGGGCCAGGGCTTAGCTGGTCGCATTCCTGCCCCGCAGAAACAATGCCCCGTGGCTGCGCAAGGGCGGATTTGGGCCCTGGAGTGGAAACCGTAGTGCCGGCCTTTGTGAGCGCTCCCTGTGCAGACTGCTGGCGTCGTGGGAATCCTCTCGATAATGCGACGGCTTTGTGGGGGGCCAAGCCGTGGAGCGGGAGTGCTGAGGACAGGGGAAGCGGCTGCCCGGGACGGGTGTGCGTGGAGGAGCCAGGGCCCCGGCCTGCAGTGTGCCCAGCCGTCTGCGTGGAGGAGCCAGGGCCCCGGCCTGCAGTGTGCCAGCCGTCTGCGTGGAGGAGCCAGGGCCCCGGCCTGCAGTGTGCCAGCCGTCTGCGTGGAGGAGCCAGGGCCCCGGCCTGCAGTGTGCCCAGCCGTCTGTGGGCACTCAGGGAGCGGGAGGAGGGCAGGTTGCCTGCCATCAAATGCATCACCTGTACCACCCATGCCACAGTGTCTCACACACACACACACACACACACACACACACACACGGATGTCACTCATGCACCCTCCCCGTCCCCTCCCCCCAGCACAAACACAATCCATTTGGGGCCCTCCCTACCATGTCTACCTCTGCTTCCTCATTCCAGAGCCTCAGTCCATTCTCAGGCCTGTTCGGTGACCCTCAGGTGTCCTCGACCCCTGGACCCAGGTCCATGCACAGGGCAGATCAGAAACCATGGCCATGGCGCCGTGAGCCGTGCTGTCCTGCCCAGACGCTGGAGTCCCGTGGGGTCACCGGCCAGGCCTTGTCCCCAACTTTTCCTTCCTTTGGGTTTTAGACAGTGCAGTTTGCAAGCCGTCCTGCTGCTCTGGATGAGCCTTGCTGGGTCCGAGGCCTCCTGGGTCCATAGCGCCCTCTCTCCGTTCAGTTCCAGCCGAGGGGGACCCGGGGTGCTGGCGCGCCACAGGTGACCTTATCACCCAGTGTAGTCACGTTCCCAAACCCGCCACCCTCCACGGGACACAAGGATTTTCTGTGTGATCCTGTGATAATGATCATTTCCCTGATTCTTTTTTTTTATTATTTTTTATTTAAAAAATTTTTTTTTATTGTAAAGATACTATACAGAGGGTTACAGTTACATGAGTGAGGTAATGAGTACACTTCCTCTTGAACATTGTTACCCCCTCCATTGTTTTCCCCCTACCATCCCCTCCCTCCCTCCCTTCCCCGAGGTTCTTTTTTTTTTATTGTGATTAAGTGATTACATAATTT